GCAAAAGACCACGACGGTAAACAACGTGACGTCTACCTTTGGCCACCTAAAGAACTTTGTCCACAACAGGACAAAATCTGGCGACTAAAGAAAGCCATGTATGGACTACGCAGTTCACCAAAAGCATGGCAGGACTACCTGGCTGAAGTGTTACAAAAGCTCAGCTTTGTAAGACTAAAGTCAGAACCTAACGTCTACACCAATGCGACTCGCGACTGCTACATCATGGTCTACGTGGATGACCTCTTGGTACTTGGTGACAAGACTACTGTCGACTCCACCTTCGAGGCCATCCAGAAGCAGGTACTACTCAAGCACATTGGCTACCTCGAACCTGGCAAACCACAAAATTTCTTGGAAGAAACATCGACCACTTTGGCAACTACTGCAATCTTGGACTAAAGGACTCCTACATCGACAACATGATCGAGGAGTCTGGAATGAACAACTGCAACTCAGTGAACACTCCAGGAATTGCACACTACAAACCAACAATAGAAGATGAAGCACTACTTGACCACGAACAACACAAAAGGTACAGAAGGATTGTTGGCAAACTTCAATGGTTAGCATACACACGACCAGACATTGCATACTCCACAAAAGAACTAGCACGAGACCTCACAGCACCTACAGAACTTTCACAAAAGAGAGTCAAACATCTACTACGCTACTTGCACGGCACCAAGCACTACAAATTCACCATAGAACCAACAACAACACTCAGAGCAAACACCAACAACATCCTGGATCTCGACGTTCATGTCGATGCCGACTGGGCAGGATGCCCTACTACCAGGAAGTCCACTTCAGGTTTCAACATCCACTTCCTTGGAGCTACAGTTGCATTCGGCAGCAGAACACAGGCTACAATAGCACTAAGCTCAGCAGAATCAGAACTTTACGCAATATGCACAGGAGTTAATGAGGGACTACACCTCAGGAACTTCCTACTTGAAACCAACATTTGCAGCAAGCTCAACCTACGCATTCACACAGACTCCACAGCAGGCAAAAGCATAGCTACACGACAAGACACCAGCAAACGAGCAAAACACAGCGACCTCAAATTTCTCTACACACAAGACCTCATCAAGCACGACATCATCAGAATTCTCAAAACCAACACACTTCACAACAGCTCAGACTTGTTCACAAAATACATCAGCAAAGAAACACTACAGAGGCTCATACAAAGAATTGGCATACGCGTTTGAACAACAACTGTTTCACATCAACCACAACAGTTTGTATATGGCCATATGTAGCTACTTGCATGTAAGTAACAGTAACAGTAACTACAAGTCACAGTAATTGTAACCACCAGTAATTTGCACTTACACGTTTAGCGGCTTTTGGCGGCTTGGGAAAACATTACATGTTGTTTTGTTTTACTACATTCCCGCATGTGTTTTTCCCGAAAGCATGGCGAAGGGTTCTTCCGCTGGGTTCACTTGAGTTGTTCTCATGAGAGTCATTACAAGGTGTCATTGCAAGGAATCATCATCATGAAAGTCAATGCAAGGAGTCATTGCAAGGAGTCATTGCAAGGAGTCATCATCATGAAAGTCAATGCAAGGAGATTGCTAGGAGTCATTGCAAGGAGTCATTGCAAGGAGTCATTGCAAGGAGTCATTGCAAGGAGTCATTGCAAGGAGTCATTGCAAGGAGTCATGAGAGTCATTGCGAGCTGCGCATGGAGTCAAGTGCAAGTTGCAAGTGCAAGGAGTCAAGTGCAAGTTGCAAGTGCAAGGAGTCAGGTGCAAGTTGCAAGTGCATGGAGTCAAGTGCAAGTTGCAAGTGCAAGGAGTCAAGTGCAAGTTGCAAGTCCAAGGAGTCAAGTGCAATTGACTTGCGAGGAGTTAAAATCTCTTCTTAGGGCGGCGGGGTAGTGCCGACGACACTACACGAAAATCGACCCTCTGCGGGGATCGGCGTGGTCGAGGTGCAAAAACCCATGGTTTTTTTGCGATTTCTAAAGTTCCCGCGCGACCCTCTGCGGGGATCGGCGTGGTCGAGGTGCAAAAACTATGGTTTTTTTTTGCGATTTCTGCGGTGCTCGCGCGACCCTCTGCGGGGATCGGCGTGGTCGAGGTGCAAAAACCCATGGCTTTTTGCGATTTCTAAAGTTCCCGCGCGACCCTCTGCGGGGATCGGCGTGGTCGAGGTGCAAAAACCCATGGTTTTTTTTGCGATTTCTGCGGTGCTCGCGCAACCCTCTGCGGGGATCGGCGTGGTCGAGGTGCAAAAACCCATGGTTTTTTGCGATTTCTGCGGTGCCCGCGCAACCCTCTGCGGGGCGGCCGAGGTGCCTGGGCGGCGTCGCGGGTTGGTCGATTCCTCCCTGGTCCGCGGGCGGGCGTCGCAAGATGCAACTTGCATTTTAAAGCAACTTGCGCAGAGCAACTTGCACAGAGCAACTTGTGCAGACCAACTTGCGCCGACCAGTTTGCGCAGAGCGCCTTGCCTAGAGCAACTTGCATTTTAAAGCAACTTGCGCAGAGCAACTTGCACCGACCAGTTTGCGCAGAGCGCCTTGCCTAGAGCAACTTGCGCAGAGCAACTTACGCAGAGCAACTTGCACAGAGCAACTTGCGCAGAGCAGCTTGCACAGAGCAACTTGCAGGGAGCGCAATTTGCACAGAGCAACTTGCAGGGAGCCACTTACAGGGACCAACTTGCCGGAGCAACTTGCGCGGAGCAGCTTGCGCAGAGCAACTTGCACAGTGCAACTTGCGTAGAGCAACTTGTGCGCAGACCAACTTGCACCGACCAGTTTGCGCAGAGCACCTTGCCTGGTGCTGTCTCGCGCTTGCTTCACAAATGCTTCGTGTGCGAAAAAAGAACGCATCCTGCAGCGTTTGGCCGACCTCGCTTGCGATGTTATGCTTCTAGTTTTGTGAGCTACCATTTGGCTCACTACTTTGCCCCGTCTCACCTCGTTTGCTTGATCGCACTACCAGCAATGTCTGGACCCATGGATACTTTGCCCCGTCTCACCTCGTTTGCTTGATCGCACTACCAGCAATGTCTGGACCCATGGATGCCTACGACCACGCCTGAGACTACTGTGCCAGCACAGCAGATTGGTACTACTACACCTGACCAAGTTTCGACACCACCAAACCCACCATCCACTACAGATTCCAGCAGCATGGTCTCTGTGGCACCTCCACCTGAGGCCTACAATGCCCTCAACTACCACTTCAACCACCAACTACCGACCACTGCACCATTCTACAGGCCCGATGACATCCTGAACCGCCTTACTACTGTCGAGTACGACAGTATTCACACTCCAACTGTGGATCAGGGACAAAACTACGCTGAGGTCTATGTGGGGCTGACCTTGGAGGAGTATCAACTACTCAGCCAACAGCAGACCACGCCAATGCCAGACCTCGACTACCAACGGCCAACGCACAACCTGCCATCAGACCTACGAATGCCCCTCTACGATTCACTACCACTCAGCCTACGCTTTTCAGAAGCGTTCAACTTCTTTTACTACAACTTGACTTCCCTACACCTCACCACATCACACACCAACTCCATGATCATCGTTCGACTTCATCTCCCTCAAGAAATCTTGTTACACTACATCAGCAGCGCCCACCTCATCAACTTTTCGCGTGACTACTTGAGTCACATGGTGTCAGTCATTGGCCAACATCACCTACGCACTCGGCAACTACCCCAACGACTTCACAAGATCAACTACGACATGAACCGGATCACCACCACCTTCAACCTGTCCAACAACTATATCTGGAACTACCACATGCCTCTTCACCTTCCTGAACTACTCAGCTACTACGACCAACCACAACAACTACAGGATCACCACTACAAAGCAATCAACACCATCATGCACAAGAGTTCCACGTACTACGGCTTCACACTACTCACTGCCACAAATCTTCCCATGCAACACAAACTACTACTACACAAACTCCTCACTACATTTCAACAACCACTCCCACCTCCAGAGATCAACTACACTTGTCTTCGAGGAGGCCCTGACTTCCTTACTACCTTCACTACCAACCACTACGCCAGCCTTGACCACCGCGCTGGTCAGCAACAAGGCTACAGAGTCCAGCATTGGACTAAGCACACCTAACTACTGGTGATGCTACATCAGTGAAGCAGCACCACAGCTTCACTACAACTTTGGACCTCCAGGTCCAAACTACATCAGGATGTATGTCATGAACTCCACTCAGTACCACTACTGAGGCCTGAACAGGAGAGCTACTGAGAGCAGCCTGTACATACTACAGCTTTTTTGATCTTTGAGAGTCAGCGGACTACAGCCAGCACAGTTGTAGTTATACTACTTTCGATCTTTTTTGCAGTCAAAACTACCTTGAGCCCTTTGCACTTTTTCCCCTTTCTGGATATGGTTGAAAAGACACTACAGGGTCTTTTAACCAAGGGGCCGTGTCAAATATCATGCTGTACTACTTGTCCCTTGTACATGCATGATGTACACTACCCGACCGCAGGCCTTGAGTCTACAAGGAAAAGAGTGCATGCTGGGAAACTACATTTGTGTTTGTGACAGCAAGAACAACATTTGCACTTGTAGTAAAGTATCGACTTATTTTAACGAGAGAGAGAGAGAGAGGCATAGAGAAGAAGAGAGTGAGACGGAAAGAGAAAGAGAGAGCGAGAGAGTGGGAGGGAGAGAGAGAGAGAGAGAGAGAGAGAGAGAGAGAGAGAGAGAGAGAGAGAGAGAGAGAGAGAGAGAGAGAGAGAGAGAGAGAGAGAGAGAGTGAGAGAGGATTGGGAGGATTGGGAGGATGGGGAGGAGTGAGACAGAGAGGGAGAGGGGACGAGGGAACACACGAGGGAGAGAAAAGAGAGAGAGAGAGAAAGAAGGAGCAAAGGGAGAGGACAATGTCGGCGGACTGAGCCGGAGGCTCTAAAGTTGAACCAAAGACTCCCACCATCTGACATCCTCACTCCGCATGCGTCAGATCCGTCAGTTCACTCGCCTTGCGCCGCTCAGAAGATGGAGAAAGCACACCACCCGGGGTGCGCCGGTCCTGCACCCCCAAAATGGGTTTCGGTGTTCCTGTCGGCCAAAAGAGCACCCTGGACAAAAATTGGCCCCACTCCGCAACTTGGTGGCTCATCGTGACGGTTTGTGAGTATGGCTGGAACCACCCATGTAATTAGGCGATCAACATGTGTGTTACGTGGAGAGATAAACTTACACTGTATAGGTGAAACCCTGCACTGGTTGATAAACACCACCAACTTGTGCATTTTGCAGATCTTGTCCATCCATTGTCAGCTCGCAAAAAATTGGGATTGGATGGTCTTCCCTTTTTTGGGTGCAATGTGGACGGATAAAACCGGCTGATGGGACCATTCCGTGCTCCTTGGATAGAACGGACCCGTGCGGAGCCCAAGGATAAGGTTTCGCTCAATTGGGGCACGATCAAAACCATGGGGTTCCGTTGGTAAGTTTGCGATGGTCACAATGGCGAGTGGGAAAACCTCTTGACATTTCGATTACAATCCAAGGACCTGCCCAGTGAACATCCGAATCCCCGCCAAAAAAGGTTCTAAAATGGGTGGTGCACCTACCCCAGAATGGTACCACAACGGTTTTGACGACCACCACCAAATCCATTTGGCCCAGACCGCCCGCCCAGCAGAACTTCCGAGCGGCATGAAGCGGATGAGGCAATCAAAGGAGCCCACGTCCCCGCCGCCGAAGCTGCGGCGGCTGAACATCCAGTCCACGCTCTCGAACGGCCCACCTGCACAAATCGCAGAGCCCGAGGCGGTTGGCGGCCCTGAAAATTCAGCGCGGTCCCATTCCACGGAACCAAAAGCCGAGAACGAGAAGAAAAAGAAAAAAGAACAAAACAGAAATAATTCAAAAAAGAGAAGAAGAAGAAGAAGAAGAAGAAGAAGAAGAAGAAGAAGAAAAACGTGCCCGGCCTGTGGGCGTCTTAAAGTTCTGGACCTTGTCTGGGACACCCTCGGCACAGATCCGACAGATCACCACCAGCGTGTATGCGCAGAACAGCCCGCAGACGACCGCGATCACGAGGTCAAAGCCTTAGGGCCCCAGGCTGTGGTTGTCAAAACCAATGCCATCATCTTGGGGGATTCGGTGAATTCACCATCCATTTTAGAACTGACTTGCTTGGATTCGTTGATGTTCCCGGGAGTTGGGTTTTGAAGTTTGAGCCATGGCCCGGGCTCTGGTCTCACCATGGCTCCTGTGGCCCGGGTCGCCTTGGCCGGGTATCGAGGCGGCCTCACCGTGGCCGCCTTTGCGGGGCCCCTCCAAAGAGACGGGGAGGGGGCCTTCCAAAGAGACAGGCAGGCCACACAGCCTATGGCTGCGTGTCAGTGAAACGCAGTCCCCGACCCCAAGCCCGGAGAAAAAAAAAACACGCACACAAACAAAGAAACCAAAACAAAGCGAAGCGAAGCAAAGAGAGCCAAACCACAAAAAAAAAAGACTAAACAGACAAACAAACAAACAAACAAACAAACAAACAAACAAACAAACAAACAAACCAACCAACCAACAAACAAACCCAAAGCAAAACAAACAAACACCCTTACAGCCCGCGCTTCAATATGACAACAAACTTCTGAGACGCCCATTGCAAGGGATCCTAGGGAAATCATGACCGACTCCCCGACTCCCCGACTTCCCGACTCGCCGACTTCCTGACCGGCTCGTCTTTTTTGGAAGAAGTAGGTCGGCCATCTTGTATCAGTTTCACACCCTGAGTGTTGCGTTTGCTGATACCAGCCCGTGTGGAAACCATGAGCCATAGTCAATGTTTGCGTTTGGCCGACCGGACATCGAAAATTAGAAACTCCCCCTGCTGTTTGCAGGAAATTCAGTGCGTCCCTTCATGTCTCCCCGCAGAATAGACCACAGACTACTGGATATTCTGACCCAACCTCATGTGCCATAGGACTTCTTCCAGAACTCGCCTTCCCCCTGACTTCCAATAGCACCTCCTTCTCTCCGAAAAGCGCAACACCATCCGCTCTCCGAATGTTTCTCATGAGAAACTGGCCCCATCATTTCACCACTCTCAAAGTCGCCCCCGAAGTGCTAGGTGCAAGGTTTCTGACTTGATCACCCAAAACAGTCATAAAAACAAACTACCGGTGTTCCTTGGCCCAAAACGCCCGGGGGCTTTTTCGCCTCTTCCTCAACCCGAGCCGAGCCGAGCGAGCCGCAGAGGGCGTAGCAGGCCCCGCAGCTCATGGCGCTCAGCCACACCCGGCGCCGCTCCAGCTCCGAGTCGTGCAGCGCCAGGTAGGCCCTCGGAGCGCCCGAAGCGCCCGATTCGCCGGTGACGCCCGACGCGGGCGGGGCGGGGCCCCGAAAATGGAAGACCCAGGTCTTGGAGCTTGGGGGAAAACCGGAAAACCCACTGTTGCGAAAGCCCCAAACACCTGCAAAAAAGAAGAACGCAAAGCAAAGCAACACCGAAACGCGCAAACGGCAGCGGGTGCGATTGGTGGTTCATCGCGGAAGGGTTTCATCTTTGCGAAGCGGATCTGGTGCATCCGGGAAGAAAAGAGACTCTGAGTGGGCAATTGGGAGAAACAGCACAAGGAAACACCCAAGACTTGGGCCCCTTGGACTCCACGTGTCTGAAGCCATTTCCCACTGTCTGCAGTCGTTTTTTCCACCTGAAGGGCCCCGGTTTCAGGTGAACCCTACTGTGGACTGACTGAATCCTGCACCACCTAAGAAACCCTAGAATGATGGCTCCCCTGTAAATACCAACAAACAATAGTTTCTCATGGTTTCAAAGTGGTGCAGGAGTTTGTGCATCCACAGTACTCAAGGGGTCTACTGTAATGCAAGAACTCCAAGGGCTTGCCAGCATGGCAACCTCACCCGTCCTTCAAGCCACCAATGGCGGCCGAGCCACCCCCCGTTTCCGCTTGTGTCGCCCAAGTGTTGCTCTCCCGTTGCCATCGAACCCAGAGAAATAGCTGGAAAATGGTCAGGACCTGAAAGAGTCTTCCAGGGTAGGTCAAGATTTAAGCTCACCTTGGAAACCAACCCCAGACGAGAAAAAAACCCTCGAAGTCGAGCTTGGTTGCTGGCGAGACCCTTTGCAAAAAGTTGAGAACACACATGGCTTCACTTCGGGGCTGTTTCAACCAAAAAGTCCAAAGATTCAAAGAGCCAAGCAACCAAACAGCCACAAAGAAGTGGTCGCCATCTTGGGGGGGAAAAGAAACATACCCCATGGCTTGATGTATATAATATATAAAAATAAATAAATTAAAAAAAGAAGAAACAAAACTGGCCTGGGCGGTTTCTTCCGGCCCTGAAACCCAACGGAAACCCACCCAACCGCTACAGTGGCTGGATCACCGCCACCAGCAGCTGGGAAGGCAGCAGGCAGAGCGCCTAGGTACTGACGAGCTTGGGCCGAGAAGGAAAAGACGGGTCTGCCGTTTTGTGCGCTGGTTGGCTCGTTTGCTTCTTTTTGTTTGTTGCTTGTGGTTTGTTTTGTTGATTGTGTTGCTTGTTGTTGCTTATATATATATATGGTTGTTGTTTGTTTGATTGCTTTCTTTGCTTCTTTTCTTTGTTTACAAGGATACTCTTTTTGGGGGTTGGGGGGTTCTTTCGAGGCCTGCGGAACACATAAAGGGCAACAGGGGGTTGGGTGAAAGGTAAGCCTCAAAGACTTGTTAAGAAAAATGCTGGGATATGGTTCAGGCGCACCGAAATGGGACAACTACTGTACTGTGTAAATGGGAAAACCAAGCTGAAGGGAAAAATTCAACAGGCTGGAAATGGGACACCAGTTCTCTTGCTGAGACACAATAAAATTGTAGTAAGCCTCGATTTGACAACCGAAACGTTCAACTCGGTGTTCAAAGACCACCTCAGGTAAGCTACAACAATTGGCCATAACTGGTGGGGGTTGGTGAACCAAAAGGGAGGCGCAAGGACCATTTTCTTGGCCGCAATATATTTGCATAAGGGTGTGATTCCCGTATTGCTTTCCACACAAAAGGCACGGAAGACTAAAATGAAATAAAATTGATATGTTCATTCGAGCGTGCGTCATCATAGTTTTGACCCCGTCGCGGGCCCTAGTCCTTTATGCAACACTCACAAATACTTCACTGCGGTGCTGCTCCCTGCGACAAGGTTTCACCATCATGCCAAAAACGTGATGTTGAACCCGGCCTAAGGAAATATCACTCGGATCCAAATTGTCCGGTTCACTCAATCGTGCCCAGCCTGACAAGCCCTCAAACCTTGATCTGCATCAAACGGGGCATGTAAAGGAACGTATTGTGGGGCTGGTGCTAACCTTCAACATTCATCCTACAACCAAACGTCGATGGGTTCACAAAGGTTCCAGGTCAACATGACCCCTGTGACGCTGTTTCGAATTCAAAGCAGGCTCTCCTTTCTTGGCCCGCCTTCTTGGCCTAAGATCTGTTCGCAACGTTAGCTGACCCCAAGTTCATTCGCGTGACCAAGGTCGAAAAAAGCTCCTTGAAGAAAAGGCTTCCATGGTCCATGGAAGTGGCATCAAGAAGAGAAACAACCAACCCCGAGTCATTTGGCTGTGGGTCAAAATTGAACCACCAGCGGACCGCAGGTTCTAGTCCATGTTTCCTTTTACCAGGGTTCTATTTGGGGACCCACAGCCATTTCGAGAACGAGTCCCTCAAAAAAGAGTAACTACTTTTACAGTGCCCAGGAATTCTAGTCTGACCATCTGAGGGCGCGGCGTGCGGCAGGTCGTGTATGTACACCAGATAGATTAGAGCAAAGAGGGAGAGCCAGGTGTCTATCCTGGGCTTCGAGCAAATTGTGTCAATCTGCAACAACCCGAGTTCATTTCAGAAGTTAACCTTTTGCAAACTTGGCCAGAACACACAAATCAAATGCTTACGAATGCAGGCTGTTTCCACCAAACCATTTCTCGGTTGCTTTCTGCTCCTCTGCTAAAAGTTTAACTTTTAAGTGGTAAACAAATTCGTTGGCAAAAAGTTAAAGTCCTAACATCCAAGCAAAATGCACCAAAGATTTCAGACCATTGGTTGACCTGACTCTGTCACACCCAGAGATCGATCCGGTCTCGACCATTCCCCATTATTTTCAGCCATTGTTCTTTTCAAAACCAGCTGTTTCCCTGGGGTTCTGATGGTTTTCTGGAAGGGAGGATCCCTGGAAAGAATGGGGAAGTGTCTCCTAGAAGTAAGGCGAAACCAACTTAGGGAGGGAATCTGCTCCTGGGGGATCAGACTTTGGGGGAGCTGGGTACGGCGAAAAAATCCAAGGCGCCAAAAACAGCCCAAGGTCTGCACCAAGCTCAGCTGAAGCGAGGGCGCCGATACCAGCGAGTACCTCTAGAAAGTGGGCTTGGACCTTATCTTAGACCCATGGGTCATGGAATGTTTGCACCCGTTGGGCTTGTTTGTGATACTCCCTGATTGCAGGGGAAAAGAATGGGCTACAAATCGAAAGCCCTTTCTTTTCCAGCAACGTTAGTCAAGCTGAGGGGATCAGGACCCGATTCCGCACTGAACAGGGGAAAGCACAGCCAACTGAGGGAAGAATAAGCTTCTCTTTGAGTTCCCAAAACAAAGGGCTACCCCCACAAAAAAACACCCACCGAAAGGGCTTCCCTTTAAAACCCCACCGCAAAATATCGCATGTGCGCCATGAATTGAATAAGAAACCAAACCGTTTTTTGAGGGTGTTCCAACCATGAGAATTCATCGCCATGTCAAGTGCGGCAACCAAAAACAAAACAAAGCAAACAGCTACTGGACTCCAAATATGTCTTGCCGACTGTTTGATATGCCTCCTGCCAAGTGTCCCTCAGTCAGGCTTTTGCAGGGGTCCTTACTTCTCCCCGTCAAACACCCCAGACTAGCCTTCAAACGGCAAACGTGATATTCAAGTCCCAAAAAATGGAACAAGGGCGTCGAACCAGGCCTCTCGCATTCGGAGAAACATCGTTCAGGGGAACGCAAGGGAAACACAACAAGCCCCTTGAGGCGGGCAACTTCCTCTAGTTCCCCGTTGAACCTTGAAAAAGCGGAATCTCAAGAAGGACATACGCAAAGAAAAAGGAACTCGGAAGCCTAACCCAAAAAGGTACGTCCGACAACGAGAAAGACGCGAATGAGCATGCCTATTGACACCAAGTGGCTTTTCAACTATCATCGAAAACTGACCTGCTGACTAATTAGTCCGCAAAATCTCAAACGTGCAACTCCAAATAAGACCTGCCAAAAAAATCCTTCAAGTTTGCCTCAGCTTCCATGTGCTTGCAGGACTGAGGTAGCTGAGGACTCAGCTGCCTCAAAAGCAAGGACTGAGCTAGCTCCTCAGCTGCCTCAAACCCAAAAACTTTGGGATAGGACTGAGCTCGCTCCCTTTCTGCAGCAAAAAGAGAAGAAGAGGAAAAAAAAAAGAAAACTGCTGCCTCCAAAAGCAACCTCAAGCGCAAAAAGAGTCTTTGGGATTTGTTTTTTCAGCTCCTCCCCCCAGCTACCCTCAGCTGCCCCCAGCTACCCCCAGCTCCGGGCCCCCCGGCGCGCGGCCCGGCGCCTTGCGGCTGCGCCGGGCCGTGGCCATCTTCGCCGCCTGGGACGGACGCGCGCGGCGTCGGCGGCGGCTCGAGGCGGCCGCGCGCGGTGCTGGAAGTAAGACTTGACCCACACATATGTATCTATATCTATATCTATCTATCTATATATATATATCATATGTTGTATTATGATATTTATATCATATCATATTATATCATATCATGTCACATCAGATCATATCATATTCTGTTGCATCATATTATATTGTATTATATTATGGTACAGCATATTTTATATTATATGATATTATATTATATTATAGAAATATATACGTCCTAAAATAAAAGTGTGTTCCTTTTGGCTTCCTAAGGTCAAAAGGGGGTCGAGTTGGGTTGAAACTCCCAGATCTGCCTTTTGAATTCAGCCTTCGGAAATGGCCAGCTGCGTGAGTGTCCTGACGTCCAAGTGGTAACCTTTGAGCGCAGTTCCTTTTGAAAAGAAGGAAACTTGTTTCTAAATCTGTCCCGAACGGTGCGGTGCTAAGTCTAGTCTAGGGCGCAAAGGTGAAACGACTCGAATCACCGCGGCACGAAGGAACCCAAGAAAGAAAAGGACTATATAACAGACCCACCCTTCGGTTTTCCTTTCAAGCCCTTTCAAAGGGTACCGAGCCTCAACCAACGCAGCGGTTTTCCTTGTGTGTTTCGGAAAAAACACAAAACAAAAGTAAGGACGTACCAGCTGGGTGTGGCTCAAAATTAAACAGGAGGGGTTACGCAGATTTTGGTCCATGTTTCCACTTACCAGGGTTCCATTTTGGTACCGGTTTTTTGAGCCACAGCCAGCTCCAACAACGACGAGCGAAGTCTACGGACCGGTCCCAGCCGGCGCCTCCGCCCAGTGCTGCGCCGCCTTGGTGCGCTGCTGCGCCCGCGCGATGCGCGCGTAGCCTGGGGCGCAGCCGGCGCCGCGGGCCCGAGGTCCGAGACATGGACCGCGGCGGAAGAAAGTGGTACCCACGAAACCTGGACCCGAAGCAAAGACCAACACCGGAGCCCCGGCCATTTTTTTTCTTGAGCCACACCCAGGTGCGGAGAAAAGATCATGTGACAGCTGATAAATGGAGACATCGGTCCTGTGGAGAGGTGAAAAAAGGGGTTGAACATGGTTGAACGATTGAAACCATGCTGGCAGAACCCCACCAAAAGAATGGACAGCACTGTTAGACAACGAAAATGTGAACGACATACCGCATGCCCAAAAGAAAACTGGAATGACCCCCAGACTTGCGGCAAAACTGAAAGGATCCTCGTAGAACAATAAGCCGGCTTGATCCCCGTCACATCAAAACCTGGCCTATCTTGTGCCAGTTTGGAGATGTGGGTATGGGTCAAAATACAACCACCAGGGGACCGCCTGTTTTAGTCTTTGGTTCCATTTACCAGCGCAAGCCATTTTGGGGTTACCCTATTTTTCACCCACAGCCATGTGAGATGAAGGTTCCTCCAGCTGGTCAAAAATGGGTATCCATTTTGGGACCCTGGTAAATGGAACCAAGGACTAAACCCTGCAGATGCTTTAGTTTTGACCCATGCCCAGATGAAGGTTCCCTGCAGGATCTTTCTTCACTCAGACCGACGAAACGAAAGTCAAGTGCCGCCGCGCCGCGGTCCCGGCGGTCGTCGGGCTCATCGCCGCTGTCGCTGCCTCAGACCGAGATCCGCTTTTCAGGATCCCAAAGGAAAACCGAAGACAAACCGAGGGCGCCCAAACAGGGATCCTTATATTATACACCTGAACATTGCCTTGTAAGTGGTGCTTTCCCTTTGTTTTGGTGGAAAAAGCCATGTTTCAAACGGGCAAAATGTAACTTTTAAGGAGCCCTGCCAAATGTTCAAGGAATTGCTCGCAACTCGCCAGTTGCGCACCCAAGCACGACCGCTCGAGAGCGCCAGTTCGGAGCCGCGAGATTGTTTGTCCCAGTGAAGTGGAGCAACAAATCACCCTCTTGAAACCATGGGTCTATGTGTGTGTGTGTGTGTGTGGGTGTCCCCCTTTTGTTTCTTGAGGGTGTCCCCCTATTGTCAGGAAAGAGTCTTCCCCCATGACACATGCCTATACAAAAGGCGGAAGTGCATCCCCTCAAGACACAAACCCTTTCCCTTTGGGATTTGGGTCTCGTTCTGACCAACCTGGATCAGAGTACCCACAGTTCTAAGAGTTGATTCCCCATTCTTGTCAAACATCGTTCTTTTCAAAACCCAGCCGTTTCCCTGGGTTTCCGGGGGTTTCTAGAAAGAAGGATCCCTGGAAAGAATGGGGAAGGAGCACTAGAACAGTTTTCCGGCGCTTCGACACTTCGCTCGCGCAAGCTCGGTCGCCGGCTGTCCAAGGCGGACCATTCGGAGTTCTGCACAAAGACCTCCACATGCTGTGGGCCTCAGGAGTCAACGTTCGCGCTCGAATCCGACGTTTGATGTGGTCCATTCCGCTTGAGATAGTTCTTCAAATGGAAAACTGAAAGGAATAAGAAACACGCGTTGATTTTTGTTTCTTTGTGGGGGGGGTTCCCTATGTTAAGACGAACCCACGTCTTGCAAGCTTTGAAATCCAAGCGTTTGAGACGTATACCCCACGGTTTACGCATCCAAACCAGGACCCTCGAATTCCCTATTTGGCTGTGGGTCAAAAATAGGGTAACCCCAAAATGGAACCCTGGTAAATGGAACCAAAGACGAAAACCTGCGGTCCCCTGGTGGCTTAATTTTGACCCACACCCATTTCACCCAAAAGGCGTTCGCTTCTTCGAATTTGCGGACTGGGCCGAAAACCACAAGTGGAATCTCGCAAACGACTCCCCCCACTCATCTCCCGAGGTTTCAAGTTGCACCTCAGGTGCGGGCTCTCGCCGTTGCTCAGGTTTGCTCCCTGCACAAACGTTCATGATGTGCATTTGGGTCCCTCCCCCAACCACCAACCAACTGCTCTTTCCTGCACACAAACTTTCATGATGTCCATTTGCGTCCCCCCCCAAACCAATAGCTCATTGAGCCAGAACTGGTTTCCATTTTGGCCTAACCTCTCCCCAAACCAGCACTGGCCTTAGCCCCAAAAATCGCCATCGCATGTCTCTCGCCCGGAAAAAGACAGCACGGCCCGCCTTAGGGGCAGTACCTGGCAAAAAAAAAAAAAAAAACGAAAACCGACTACGTGAATCAACAGATGTGTCTCAAAAATGGATGTGGGTATGTGTCAAAATACGGAATTGGACCCAAAAAGATGTGGCTTTCCTTTGGGATTCCTTTTAAAACCCTTCCACCTAGGTATGCCTTTTTGAGGGTCCGTTTTTTGGATGGCTTTAAAGGGAAGAATTGTGGGGATTCCCCTTTTTTTGGAACAAACCCACATCGACCCCAAAATGGCGGCCTCCCCTGCGTTTAGGTCAAAGCTGGCCGACATGTTCTGCGGGCTTGCGGGCTGCAACTTTGAACTTTGCCAAATCGAAAGCTACCTCCGGACATGTGCACATGTGCACAAGCCCGCCAATTTTAGCATTGCAAGCCACCCGAAACCCAACCCACACAAAAGCCAACCGAACATCTGGTCGGTCGAATCGTAAGTTGAGCCTTCTGAAGCTCCAGCAAGCAGCGGCGACGCAAGGCTCATGAGGGGCGAATCGGACAGAACCCAAGCCCCGCCTTGCGAAGGTCACATCCTTTTGTTTTGTCTATGCGTCCGCCCTAGCAGAGTGGACTTAGGGGCAGACATTCGCGGCCTGTTGCTGAGGGGTCAAACCGCAAACGAGTGCCCCACGTTTGGACAATCTGGCAGCTGCCGTCATCCCAAGCAACGCTTCTTGGCATTCCATCCCAATACCAGTATCGCTTGTCAAAATAGAAATGTGCCAAAGTTAGTAAAGGTCGTCCCAATCTTCTTGATCAAGTTGGCACAGAAAGAACCACAATACGCCTGATGCAACATTTCAAGATGCAAACCCGGCTACTTTCCCTCGACTTTCGACAACCTGTCACATGCTACGCTGACCACGTATCACTTGAAATCCAAACCCTGCGAGCCAACATGCGCCGTGTATTTGCTAAGGTGAGCCGCGGCATTTCCCCGAAGAACGTGTTTTCATTAGGCCAAAGGCTCCAATGAGAAACAGAACCTGACATGTGGAATTGATTTTCTATTCAAAAATCCTGGTCCTCGGACATCTTCCCGCGCCAATTGGTATGGTTCGAACATCAGGCGCATGAGGACTGAGGCGCGGGTGGGGAGGAATCAGATTCTCAGACACGCAAGGCATGTCGCGAGGTTGGGTGAGATCCTTCTCCAATTGTCTCCATTGAGCAGTTGGAAGTCTTTGCGCGCATCCAGTTATTGGAATTCACAGCGACTTTGTTCCGATACGTAAGCTTCAGGATACGGTTCAATAGAGAGAGTTGGTTGCTTCACCAAGAGGAAACTCCGCAAGCGACTTGTCCACCTACTTGTCCAACACTGTTACTGTTTTCATGGTGTTGCCTTGTCATTTCAACTCATCACAGCACACATGACAGTTTGAACGCTGTTGGAATGCCTCTGAGACAAAGCTCTATGTCGCGTGGCATGTTACAAGCCACTGTAAATTCAACTGAATTTCCAAGGAAAAGGCGCTGCGAGACAATGGTGCAAAATTGGGCGGGGAAGCAATCGTTATGATGTCGCAACTCTGACATGTAGTATGTCCTAAGGATTCGAACGTGAAGCGGCGGAGTTGCCAAAATACTGCGATGTCGTTGAGCCCAAACAAACGCCGTTCCTTTTGGAAACCAAGGTGATAAAGGCATCGCGCTGGACCGAACCTCAGAAGGAAGAAACAAAACGAGCCACCCGAATTGTATTGAAAGGCTAAACAAGGAATCGAAATCAGTGCAACCAAAGGTCACATTGGCTTGTAGTTTTGGAAACGTTGCGGGCCTCCCCAGCTGAACCTCGTCCTTGAGCTGGAGCTTGCTGACGCCGAGCCCTGCGGTCCTCCAACGCCAGCTCCCATCCGACAGACGGCTCCCTATCCACAACGTTCGAAATTCAGAAGAAGCTCGCCAGGTTTGGCTGATGAGCTGTCAGTGGGGCGTGCTGTTCGAGGTGCGCTACCTGCAGCTTGAGTTGCAGGAGCCTGCGCAGTGTCAGTGCCCGTTCCCTCTCTAAGAAAAGGGAGCCATGCCCGATGTCTGTGAGCGCTGCGGCGCCGAGCCTCTTCGTGAAATCCTTCTTTTGGGAGCGGCCTCAGGGGCGGCGGCGCTACCCTTCGTTGGCGTGCCGCGATTGCTTAAGCTTACACCGCCTCGAGCAGCGTTGAGCTGGTGGCCTGCAAGGCGCCGACGTACAGGTGGGTGGCGCAGGGACAGGTGGGCCGAGCTCATCTCCAGCCGCACACGGCCCTTCAAAGTAAGGCCTTGGCAGCTGGCGTAGGTCACCGCGTGGCTCAGGCGTGTGGCGCGCAGCAGCTCCTGGTTCCTGAGCCGCAGCCCGTTGTCGAGCCTGACATGCTCGGGCTCCACTGCCGCCACGGCCACAAAGACTTTGTTGGGGATCTTGCCCCCGACGCCGATGAGCCGCAGCCCGGGCCAGACCAGCACGTTGTGCGGCCACCACCGTGCCTTGGCCGCCTTCGAAGCGGGGACTTCCGCCTTACCAGCTAGCGCACGCTCTTTGTATGCTCACGCCAGCGCCAGCCGCAAGCCGCTGCTCACTGCCCGCGAAGAGCTGCCTCACTGGAACCAGCCGCAAAGCGTGCGCTTCCCGCCCCGCCGCGATCCTTAACCGCCCTTCCGCAGTGGGCACTTCTCCTTTGGCATTTTGCAGCCGTGATCGCCCGGCTTGCGTGCTGCCATTGCACATTTGTGCACGGCAAGTGTGCTTGCAGCATCTCGGGCTGTTTGCTGGAAGTAAGAGAAGCTCCAGTGATTTGTGTACTGAGTTGTCCTGTTGTTCAAAATACCCCAACGCACCAGCACTGGCAATCACATCATCCTTCTGCAACAACCCTACAGCCAGCTCAAACTGCAGGAGCCCGGAACCATGGAAAGGGTTTTCCTCTCCCCAATCTTTCTCTTGAGCAGCCAAACAACCCGCAAATACACAAAGAACCAACCAATGCAACAACATAGCAAGGACGGCTTGCTCGGCTTGTTGGGCGCTACAGAGGGGGTTCCTTGCAAACGCTTTCATTGAACAGGGCTTGCCCTCAAGTGTGTGTTTTGCTTGTTGCTGCACATGTTGGGGCAAAACGTTGGGAAAGTTGTGTCCCGTTGCACTTCCGCACTAGAAGGGGTTGTGCCACAAACATGGCAAAGCTAACCCCCAGCAAGGAACCTCACAAAGCGCTTGTTGTAGTCACCGCGCAACAACACAATATCCCTTCCCCGATCGCCTCATTCCGCCTCATCCGACTGTCAAAAACCATTTGCTGCAATCGCAATTTGAGCCACGTTTCTTGAGAGGCAGTTGTGGCAAAAAAATATGTTCAAATCATCCGAGAAGCGCTGCATCAAAATAAACGTCGGCTAGTACTATTACCAAGAACATAGCTGAGTTGTTCCTGCATGTTGAAGCGCCTTCAAGGCGTGGGAACACATACTTGATCACATATCCGTCTAGTGTGTGTGAAACTAGCAGGCTTGTTTACAGGAAAGAATCTTTCCCTTCCCTTCTCTTCCCTTCCTTTGCTCTCTCTTGCGCGCTTTTTGCACTCACAGAAGCTGCAACACGTCCATCTGCGCGATTATACACCTACAACTCATGAGAGAGTATCTCTTCTCCTGTTGGCGTCTGGCCCAGGAAGAGCTGCACTTAAAATTTTGCCTGCCGTCTTCACATGTGCTGCAAATCTGGAGCAACACATTTGCCATGTCTCTGTGCTCCTTCTTTTGAGGCTTCCTGCCCTGCGCTCCCTTCCTGCCCTTCCGAGGCTTCCTAGTCTTGTCCTGGCATGATTTGGACAGCTGACTTGCGTTCTTCAGCAACCCATGGCAACATTGCACTGCAATGAATTCGAGCGTATGAGTCGCCTTCCGCTTCACGGGGATCAAAAGGTCGTGGTGAGCATTCTTGAAATTCCGGTTGGACTTGATGGCCTTCCCGACCTTGCTGCTGACACTAGCTTCATTGTCCGTCGGGTATTCCACAGCCTCACTCCAGCAAACTTCGAAAGGCTGCAGAACAGCCCGCAGGTGAGGATCCTCAGTGGGATAAATTGCCAGAAATGGGGCCCAGGTGACGTCGGCACTCAGGTTTCTTGCCATGCAGTACAGGCGGAACCGCGGCGTAGCGCCTCGCCTGGGGTTTTGAGCAATTCCAGGGAATCTGGCAGGAGCCCCTCCAACCAAATGTTCAGACTCTTGAAGTCCTCCAGAAGCTTCCCTTTGGTCTGCTTATTCTGACTCCACCAAAGCCGCGGAACCAAGACTGAATGATTGCTTGGAAAAGCTGCACACGCCTCGAAAATATCTACCCAGCGTGTTGATGTTCCGGGCGCAAGCCCGCTGTCTGTGATTTTCCAGCGCACTGCAGAGCAAAGAACTAAAGACAATGCCACTTCCGGTTGGTCAAACAGGGGGCCCGCAGAGCCATATGCACTCTGGAAGCATTTTTCCATGTACATGAATGCAGCAGGGGCAGTGGACGACAACTCGCCTGTCGTCTGGAAGGCTCGTTCCAGGAGGCGAGGTACCCCAGCAGAGAATAGCATTATTTGATTGAAGACGCTGTTGTTGTATTGCGTTCCCTGCCATTTTTGCATGGCCTCAGAAGCAGCCTGTCGAGACAGTGGCGCCAGGGCTGGAATGGGCAAGAGCTGCTGCCAGTTGACGCCCGCGGAGAAAAGCCCCATCTTTTGTGGGAATATGCTGAGTACTTGGGTGAAAGCTGATTTCCGTCCACCAGATTGACTCAGCCTCTCAAAGTCAAGAAACTCCGAAAGGAGGAAGAAGAAGGGGTAGACATGGATCCTTGGAGGATCTTCATCACATTCCCGAATTCCATGCGCTCGAAATTCACCACCTTCCGAGGACTCAGCTTCACAGAGTAGCCATGGAAGATCTCACAAAGGTGCCACAAAACTATGGAAGAAACCAGAGCTCCAGCATCTTCACCAAGCAGGTTCGCTCCCTCGATCTTGACCGCATCAAATACCAAGAGCCGCCCGCACCGTCGACTTTCGGAAAAGATTGAAACCTTTGCCAAATGACGGATGAGCGATGACTTGCCCGTTCCTCTCGGGCTCCACAAGGACACTACTCGTACCTTGTTGGTCTCCAATCTCTTGGTCATCTCTATCTCCTCTATTACTCTCTTTACAACCGCCTCCCTTTCCTGAAACGGCCTGTCTCGCTTGTTGTTGATGCGGCTGTTCAAGAAGCGGTCTTCGAAGTCAACGAGGTCTGCGCTAAAACGAGGGAGCTCAACCTGCGCGGGAGGTGCCCAAATCAGGAGGGAATGCTTGGAAGGGCAATCACGACAAACACAACACGCATCGCAATTAGGAAGAAAATTGATCACTAGCGGGAATCTATGAAGACAGGAAGCGCTGCGCTCTGCACAAATGCAATTTTGGGATTTCCTGGTTTTGTGGGTGTGATCAGGGCAGCCCCACTGAAAGCATTTGCGGGCCGCGGGGGGAAACTCAAAACCACACACAACGACCAGCGGCACGTCTCAGAACAAAGTCAAGAGCAAACGATTTTCCAGTTAAAGGTCCCGCGCACTGCTCCTAGCCTCAAACCACAAAGAACCCTGAACCCAAAAGCCGACAGCAAGGCGCACACCTTTTTACCGGGTTGCTTGGGAAGGTGGCACTTTCCTAGGGCACTGCGGTGCACCTAGGACAAGGGGCGAGATGTTCCCCCCCCTTGTGAAACTGATCGCAAGACATGCGTGTCCTTGCTTTTACCGAATGAAGGCGCGGCATGCGTGCCCACGCCTGCATCAGAGGACCAGCAGGTCCAAAAACGCAAACAGGGCCAGACCGCGGGTCTGGGCCCTGATGAAGGGCTGGGAGAGTGCTCCCAGTTCATGTCCGGAGAGCTCCCAGCGGGGAGAACTATCCGGAAGGCCTAAGCGAGCTTAGGGCTTAGAAGGGTCGGGTGGGTGTGTTTCAAAACGAAACCAGGACTGCGAGTCCTAGACGTGAGTTTGAGGGCTAGAAGCACCAAATGGCAGCGGCGTAGGAGATTCACCCCCGACCTATAAACACAGGGGAAAAGAAAACCCTTAGCGTTAAAGGTCCCGCGCACTGCTCCTAGCCTCAAACCACAAAGAACCCTGAACCCAAAAGCCGACAGCAAGGCGCACACCTTTTTACCGGGTTGCTTGGGAAGGTGGCACTTTCCTAGGGCACTGCGGTGCACCTAGGACAAGGGGCGAGATGTTCCCCTCCTTCAGTGCTTCCCAAGGCAACCCCGGTAACAGGCGAATACGGCCCAGGCGCAAAAGTCCCCCTCTTCAGTGCGGGGTTGCACCTGCGGTGGGGCTAAGCACGGTGACCGGCAATGCGAAGGCATGCGCCGAAACTTTAATGCGCGATTGGCATCAGTGCATTTTTTTCAGCTTGGAGTTTGTGAGCAAACTCGGTCGTCGCAGCCAGGTATTCTGGCGGCGGAAAGCTGAGCAGGGCGAAGTGCAGAAGGCTGGCGCGCCTGTGCAAGCCAAATTTGCTGAAGTGGGATGGCTAACCAGCCATACGTCATTCATGCCTGGCGGCCGCAGCCTGGGCGCCATGGTGCCTCTGTGGGACAGAGTGTGATGCCCCTTCCAGCTTGTGCAAGGCTGGCAGGGCTGAAGCGCATTCGATTGGCAGGGCGGTGGGCGAACCGTGCGAGGCGGTTTCTGCTCAAATCGTCTGCCCAATCATTGTAGCGCCCTGGCAGATGAGTCGGTTGCAGAAGAACGTTCCTGGCATGCGCCCAGGAGGCGACAAGTTGCACAAAAACTTGCAAAGGCCAAGATGTTGTAAACAGCTTGTTAATGCCTGCTTCTGCTGCCGAGTTGTCAGTGCCTGAGGGCATGCTAAAAGAGTAATGCCCGCCTCCAATGTGGCTATGCGTAGCCTGGAGGAGTGCGAGCTGCGCAAGGGTTTCGAAGCACGCGATGTAACGCTGCGCTGGCTTGACAAGGCAGGGCCACACACGTCGGATTTCTTGCATAGTCCAGGTTTCAGCAAACCACACCATTTGCGAGGATGTGACTGCCCAACCACCTATTCCCACGACCTCTTCTTCAGCGCAGGCATCTGCGGCTGCCAAGGCTGGCAGGCGGGGTTGCTTTGCCAAAGGCTGTAGGGGAGAGCGCTTGAGGCACGACCCCAGCCATTGCAGGCAAGCTTGGCTATCCTTGGAAAGGGTGGTGAAGGGGTTGTTGGGATCTGCTGCGCGAACCCACGTAGGCTTGCTGGTGCTTGGAATGCATGCGTCTGGGCAGTGCACGGCGCTGCCCGCGACCTCCAAAATTTTGGAACCGGCCGATTGGTAGACCTATACTCAATTTAAAATCTTTGTTTAAAGATTTTCGAAAGGCCGGCCATAGTTGTGGCTGGATGGAGCGCATTGAGCCTGGTGGGCTATGTAGGTCGGCGTACAGCGGCGCCATCCAGGATCGCAAATGCAGGGCTATGCTTGTGGCCCAGATGAGCAACCCAATGCACTGCTCCAGTGTTTTCCGAAGGACCTTTCTTTTGCCGAGGAGGGCCGCAATGATCTCTTGTAGCTTGACCAGTTTGGTCTGCATGAGTTGGATGGTGTCGTGGGCGAAGTTAATCTCCCAGCCGCACCACACAAGGCAATCCTGGAACTGTGCCTTTTTCCAGGAGATTGGGGCGGCGATGGCACAGAAAAATAGAGCCACGAGGGCGAACATTTCTGGTGAAGATCGTCCACAAACAGGAAGGCTTTATGTGGCTGCCACGCGAGCAGGCCGTGAACCTGGCGCAGCAGGAAGGCGCCTGTACGCTGCCACCAGTAGGCCGAAAATCGCCCGCCAAAATGGCAGACTCTATAGTGATATAGTCTGCCTTGGAAGGCGAACAGAAGAAGGCCGTGTCGTCTGGGCGAACTTGAATTTGTTTGTGGGCGGCCTTGAAGTCAATGCTGGCCCCCATGAAGGCTCCTGGTGTGTCACCCGCTTGGGTGGCCAGTGCTAAGTCAGAGGCCATTGGAAGGCTGAGGCACTCTGGCAGGTAACATCTAGTGTTGACCTGACACACCGTGCTATCAAGAACCAAGCGGGGCTCTTTGTTTTCAACGAATACCACATTTAACTTGCCAACTGCGACACCTAAGGGCCATTTGTTCTGCGCCTCTGCGATGGTCAGGTTGGTGGCGACGACCCAATTATTGGAAATTTCTTTGTCTAGAAGGCCCTGTACTATTTCGGGCTCTTCTTCTGCTGCTTTCCAGTTGCCTTTGCCACGCCAGCCTGCCGAGTCATACGGATCATACGGATCATACGGTCATACGGTCATACGGTGGCGGCTTGGCACTTCGGGTACCCTGCCGGGTATCGAAGCCTCCAGCCGGCCGAACCGCGCCGCCCGAGGTCGGAATTCCGACTTCGCTCTCCCACCAAGGTCGGAATTCCAACTTCGCTATTTTGTCCAAAAAAACCCATCACCGGGCCAGCGCCGAAGGTCCGGCAGTGACATGGTTCTCGCCAGATCGCTGCCGGAGTCGCCTTGCCGTCAATCCTGTCGCCAGCGCAGGATTGCTCCACTCAATCCTGTGTTGGGCACAGGATTGCCCCACTCAATCCTGTGTTGGGCACAGGATTGCTCCACTCAATCCTGTGTTGGGCACAGGATTGCTCCACTCAATCCTGTGTTGGACACAGGATTGCCCCGGTGTCTCCCTGAAAACTCCGGCTGCGATGCGGTAAATGTCGCATCTCTCCCGGACTCGGCGCCCGGCTTCCCGTCTTCGAATTTGGCAAGTAAGGCAAAGGGACGAATGGGGAAGATCAAGCTCTTTCCCACGCGCGTGGCTTGCGATCCCGAGTCCGGGTTCGTGCAAGTGCGCCGGCCTAGGCGAACGCACCTGCACACGTATCTGGAGCAAGTCGAAAGGCCGGTCACTAAGACTCAAAGCCTGTGAAAACAACCACATGCAAGGCCGGTCACTAAGACGCAAAGCCTGTGAAACAAATCGCAAATGAAGAAACGCCATTCAGATAAGTCGAGGGATTGTCGAACGTCAGCCATGTCGCACCCTGGCGAATCGCATGTAGCCCCGTCTATGAAGTTCAGGGTCGTGAACGA